CTTATCTTAGATGTGGCATAAGGCGGGAATTATGGAGTACCTAGTGAGGATCGAACTCCCTACTCCGTTATAACTGGTCTAACGAGATAAACAAGTAACCAAATGATTTTCTAAGCGTAGCTTAGACGTGGCATAATGTCAAAAGAGTGGAGCTTCCGGTGAAGGTCGAACTCAATATTTAGTCGTAATTGATCAAGCTCGTTAACCATTGCATTACGTCTAGGAGCTTGAGTAAACTGTTTACCAAGTAACCATATGGGTTAGTTTTATTAAATACATCCGTTAGAAATTTCAGTAATTCCAATGATTAGAGACATAGTGTCAGAGAAAAATCTGATGGTAAGTTAAAAAGAAATTATAATAATTATCGAAGTTTATTTTCTAAAAGTAGTGAGTCATTTCAAATATATTGGCTTGCTTATCAGCGAAAAGGGCTCTAGAATAGAAATAACTTCAAGAGTAGTATAACATTCATTAGCCTTCACACTCTTTTCTGTAGAGCTGCTAGTCTTTGTCACGAACAGCGGAATTAAAGCGAAGAACCCAAGCAGTAGAAGTTAGATACTACAGAACCATCTTTGGCATCTCCTACGTAGAACACATTTAAAATGATCCAGTACGAGACACCAGCAGACAAGAAGTAGGCCCGTGGGAAGGCCCCCTCAGAAAGTGGAAATTGAAATGGTATGGAAAGATCATAAGGGCCAACAATCTTTTCCTTACCATCCTACAAGGTAACATTTTAGGCAAAAGAAGAAGAGGAAGAAAAATGGACTGACAACCTCACCAAGCAGACTAGAAGCATCATTCACAGAGACTTGTTCGATCCTCACTACGTGCCCCATAATTTCAACATTGTTCAACATCTAAGCTAAGCTTAGAAAATCATTTGGTCATTCGGGCACTTCGACGTGGTGTAATGGTTAGCAAGCTTCTCTCGCTTGATTAATTACGACTCATAAGTGAGTTCGATCCTCACTAGGTGCCCCACAATTTCGACCTTGTTCAACATCTAAGCTAAGCTTAGAAAATCATTTGGTCATTCGGGCACTTCGACGTGGTGTAATGGTTAGCAAGCTTCTCTAGCTTGATTAATTACGACTCATAAGTGAGTTCGATCCTCACTAGGTGCCCCATAATTTCGACCTTGTTCAACATCTAAGCTAAGCTTATAAAATCATTTGGTCATTCAGGCACTTCGACGTGGTGTAATGGTTATAAAGCTTCTCTCGCTTGATTAATTACGACTCATAAGTGAGTTCGATCCTCACTAGGTGCCCCATAATTTCGACCTTGTTCAACATCTAAGCTAAGCTTAGAAAATCATTTGGTCATTCGGGCACTTCGACGTGGTGTAATGGTTAGCAAGCTTCTCTCGCTTGATTAATTACGACTCATAAGTGAGTTCGATCCTCACTAGGTGCCCCATAATTTATTCAACATCTCAGCTTAGAAAATCATTTGGTCATTCGGGCACTTCGACGTGGTGTAATGGTTAGCAAGCTTCTCTCGCTTGATTAATTACGACTCATAAGTGAGTTCGATCCTCACTAGGTGCCCCATAACTTCGACCTTGTTCAACATCTAATTTGTTTGGGTACTTCGACGTGGTGTAATGGTTAGCAAGCTTTTCTTGCTCGATCAATTACGAGTAAAAAGTGAGTTCCATCCTCACTAGGTGTCTCATGTTTTCGGTAAGAAAATCACCACATGGAGAGTTCAGGAGTTCAGTTGCGCATTAACCCTACGACCACAGTTGATTATAGAACTGGTGATGATGATACTGTCAACCCTATTTGAACCCGGAATGCGGTGACACTTTTTTTTTTACTGCGACGTCACCACTCGTCCGAATTGTTCTGTTCGTTTTCAGCGCGAACAAAACGAATTTTTCTGACGACTAGACGAAAAGAATTTTGATTTTTTTTTTGCAGTAAGGTTAACCCTGTCCAAGAACCATCCGAAATAGAGGGTTACATTAAGAGATAGCTTATGCGGATAGGAGGGAAAGATGACGGTTAACCCTAGACTTGAACAGGTTAAGATTGTAGTGATCGGTTCCATAGAGCAGTATTTAGCGGAAAGAAGTTGTTCGAATGGAACTGATTTCTCACCAGTGAAATACAGAGGGAATGTGGGGGGGGGGGTGCTACAATGTGAGTGGTATGGCGGGTCCTAGACGTGAAGGGTAAAACTAACGGAATTAAGGAATGTAGTTTGTTCGAGCACTTTTCATACAAGTAGCGAGAGAGAAGTGAGAGGCTCGCCATAGCCCACCTGTGAGAGAGAGTTTGGAGGATGGAAAATAGTTTGTCACTCACAAGTTCTCGAAGACTCTTTTAAACTCTATGGACACTGCAATATGAGGACTGGGCAGTTCCCGTCCAAATATGACAACAGTACTCCATTCTTGGTCTGATCTGGCTCTTTAAAAGGTAGAGGATAGCATGAGGAGTCAGGTACTTACTGCAGCGGTACAGAGAGCTGACAATTTTCCCTGAATCTTTAGCGATGGATCGTATGTACGAGTTCCACTTGACGTCAGATGAGTGTTTGTGCTCCAATATTCTCTCAAGATATGGCGTCTCCTCGTGGCGATATCTATTCATCGTGACTGACGGAATGTAACTAGTTTTGTTTTAGAGACATTGAATGTAACCAGCCAGTTCTTTCACCACTGGGAAGTTAGTGTAAGATCGGAAGAGAGTATACTACTACTACTACTACTACTACTACTACTACTACTACTAATAATAATAATAATAATAATAATAACAATAATAATAATAATAAAAAATAGCGGTTAAATCTAGGCTTGAACAGGTTAAGATTGTAGTGATCGCTGAAACATCCACAGAGCAGTGGTTCGCGGGAAGAAGCTGTTCGAGTGGAACTGACTTCTCATCGATGGAATACGGAGGGAATGTGGGGGGGGCTGCTACAATGTGAATGGTATGGCAGGTCCTAGACGTGAAGATTAGAACTAACGGAATTAAGGAATGTAGCTCGTTCGAGCCCTTTCAATAGAAGTAGCGAGAGAGAAGTGAGAGGCTCGCCATAGCCCAACCGTGAGAGAGAGTTTGGAGGGTAGAAAATAGTTTGTCACCCACAAGGTCTCGGAGACACTTTTGGACTCTATTGATACTGGAATGTACTCTATTTTTGACCTGATCTGTCTCTTGTAAAGGTGGAATCAGTACACTGGAGCGCTACAGAGAGCCGACCATTTTTCCTACATCTTTAGCGATTGATCATATGTACGTGTTCCACTTGAGATCAGGTGTGTATTAAATGTACATTTTGCAATTTTTACCGATTTTTTGAAAGAAAAAAAAAGATTTTTTAATGTTTATAAATTATAAACAAGCATTAATGACAAAATATCGCTGTATTAGTTGTCAATACGGACAAATTGAATTAGCAAGCCGGTTTCAATTTCTGGGCTAACACGTTGCTCTTAATTTAGCGCATGAACACATCACTTCTTCCTCCAACTATCGGTTAGCTACCAGAGTAGACTGGGCTCTCTAGCCTTGGATAGCAACCAGCCTAGGAGAACCACTTCAAAACCGTTGAAAGGCAACGAGAAACCACTCCACTATCTATCCCAAGAAATCGTGTGAATTCGCAGATGATAAATATTTCTGGGTAACTGATCGCTTGCATTCTGAAAGTACATGGCATTTAGAAATTAACGAGAAAATAGAATTGCTATATCTATAATATAAATGTATTGTTAATTATTTTACTATAGAAATGCATAAAAAAGAGTTAATGATTTCCATTGATTAGGAATTACGACGCGAAGAAATATGTTGTATATTTCTGTCGAAAAAGAAAAAGATGATAGAACACTTCTTCAGCGGACAGTTTTTCTAGTAATTTTCCTCTTTGGTACATCGACTTTATGAACTTAAACGTAGCACTGCATTGGCAGCAAGGTCTCGTCATTTTTCAGTTGTAACCGTAAGTTCTATGCTAACAGTTTCTTCTCTCGCATTTCTTCTTTTCCTGTCAACTTTGATCTAGAAAAACGTAATGTAATGTCAATCACTTACGTTATTCGGTTCGTTACCCTCATTGCCATATTCACAATCTTCTTCAGATGATTAGAATTTCGAACCAAACACTTTATTTCGTCATTTCCCTTTAACTCAACAAATCCTAGTTCACAACTGCTGTAACCTGGTATTGAACTTACAACTCTGGGTCTAGTCACTGGACCTAACCAACGCCTTTATCCGCTGGACCATGTGTCTTTGAGGACATCTGTGTATGAGTTTCTGGGACTTATAAACCTAATGTCTCAGCAACCACATTGCACTTTATTATTTTAAGTATTGGTAGGGAGAGGGTTTATTTTTTGATTGTTTTAGATACTTTTTAAAATATCTAAGCTTATGTTAACAGGAAGGTTGGTGTAAAGGGATTTAATAAATAGACCAGCTATGAGGTTATCAGTCATATTTATTCCCCTTTTTTTTCAATCAATTTGACTGAATTTTTAATATGAGAAGGGCTGAGTGTTCCGAGAAGAGGGGGATTAAAATTTTCGTTTTGGCTTTTACCAGTTTGTCTATTGTATCCATCACATTCGTCAGTAGAATGACATTTCTGTCGGTTCAAGTTTCTTTTTGATCTCTGAGGAAATTATTCATCACTCACTGCTAGATAGGAGATTTGATATTCCAGAGCAGTTCACCATTCTTTTCTTGATTTCTATTTTGATTGATTGACTTGTTTTTTACGGATTATCAACCTTTTGAAGTTTATTTAAAGCCAGAAAATGTTTTTAGAGTGTAAGAATTTTTTTGAGGTAATAATGATTTTCTAATACAAGTTATACTAATTAACCCATAGCTGGGGCGGAGAGGTGGGTTCATGCCTTTCCTAAGAGTATTAGTGAATATAAAGAACTCGACCTGATTTGGAGCTCGACTCACCGATTTCCAATTCTGAGACATTATCCATTGCAACACCATACGCACGGCCAAGCTTAGAGCACCAGGTATTCCCAAGCGGTCACCCATCTAGGTACTGACCAGGTTCGACCTTACTTAACTTTTGGTGATCACACGGGAACCGATGTTTCAACGTGATATGGCCGTATGTCCGATATTGTTTTTATTTCTTAATTTTTCTTAGAGTCTTAGATTTTAGACAATAATCGTTCTTTTGAAAGCAAAAGGATTTTCACTATTTCTTAAAATTATCTGATTTAACTTAAATTGACCTACTCTCTCCCTCTCCCCCCCTCTCTCTCTCTTTATGCGAGCGCTCGCGCGTTTGTGGGCGTGATATGACAAGTATTATTTTAGTACGTTCTTAACTCGTTTTTATTGGTAACTAGCTTAAAAGCCGAAACCCTTGCGGACTTTTAAGCTACCCCTGCTAATTGGGCCTCCGGCTCAAAACTAAAGAGACCTCTGGTTCAGCTTAAAAAACAACAATGATAATTTTGAAAAAAATAACTTTGAATTCCACAATTCACTCCATGGAACTTCAAGACCTCACCATAACTAATTCGAGCTATAAGTCGAATTCAGACCAAAAGACCGATTTAAGCAGAAAGTCCGATTTAGGCCGAAATTCCGATTTGGGCCGAAACTCCGATTTGGGCTGAAAGTCCGATTTGGGCCGAAACTCCGATTTGGGCCGAAAGTCCGATTTGGGCCGAAACTCCGATTTGGGCTGAAATTTCAATTCAGGCTGAAATTTCAATTCAGGCTGAAAATTAAGTTCTTTAAATCACAAACTCCGTGGAACTTCAATTGAATTGAGTTCTTTAAATCCCAAACTCTGTGGAACTTCAAATCTTCACGTCGCAAAACCACCCAATTTAACTCTGATTTCTTGGTATTTTGAAGAAATAAAATTGATTTCCTCAATTCACAAAAGTTTGGATATATTTTAACGGAATTTGAAGAAAAAAAAATTAAAATAAAAAAATAATTTACAAAGTTTTTGTGTTACTTAAGTTCAATATAAATTTTTTAAAAAAACTTTTAAAATCACTAATTTTTTCAGTTATTTTGAAATTTGAATTTTTAAATGTTCTCTTCCCATCTGGACACAAATCCTAATGCTGGTTGTTCAAGCACCAGATGAAGGACAGATTTTCAATACTAGGATTATTCTGATTCCAAAACGGTATAATATGTCTATGTAAAGCAAATGTGACCAGAGTTAGAAGAATTTGAGACACATGGACGGGAAGACAGAATTTGCCGTTTATTCAGATTTTGTTTTATTGTTTAACGTTTTAAATTTATCAAAGGTCCTCTTTTATAAACATTGATCGAAAAGCAAGCGGCTTAAGAGGATTGGCAACCATTTTTTTTCTTTTCTATTCGACTCTAATGAAGATCGTTTTGAACGGGCTCGCTTCCAATTCCTTTCTTACGAAAGCGAGTATCCCCCAAGGCTCTATCCTGGGTCCTACACTATTCTGATCTACATCAACAATCTCCCCGATGTCATCAGTTCCCAAGCAGGCATTTATGAAGATGACACTACCATTTACTCCTGTCTCAATAGCAAATTCAACAGATCAGACAAAGTAAAACTAGCAGCTGCTCTGGAAAAGAACTTCTAGTCAGTGGTTAACTGGGGTAAGAAACGGCTTGCAAATTTTAACGCCTTCAAAAGAAAGATGCTTTAATTTAAGCAGCCCAGAGAAACTTTTCTGCCTGCCATCAGCATAGCTGACTTTAGACTCTAGGAGAGTAACACACTCCACCTTCTTGCCCTTTTCCACTGACAAATTAGTAGAGCGATTACATTGAATCAATTGCTGCATCTACTGCAAGGAAAGTTGGGTTACTGTGTCGTGCCAGAAAATTTTTCTCATCAGAATCCAACTTGCACATTGTTGTGGTGTCTTCCTTCTAATGAGGCTATTGTGGACTCTTCAATGCCTTCAGGCTGGGTTGTGACCATGGCTACGTCTAGTTTGGACCATATCAGGACCTGCTAAGACAAGCCAAGACCAATTTGGACCAGAACCTGATTAAGCTTTGATCAGCTTGGACATGTTATGACCAAAACATTGACTAGGCTTTGACCAGCTTGGACATGTTATGACCAATCTTTGACCAGTGACCCTATGCGGAAACGCTCGGGTTTTCCACGAAAAACGACCTTGTGTTACTTCTTGACCCCGTGGGAGTCAAGTAACCCCACGAAAAACGACCTTGTGTCACATCTTGACCTCGTGGGAGTCAAGTAAATACCGCAAAGTTAGTAGGAAAGTAAGCCTCGGGGGAACGGTGATATAAACTGTTCAACCTTCCTCTCTAGTATACACATGTATACGGGTTTTAACAACTGCTACTAGATTGGCATCTCGGTCCAATCATTTTACTGTTGAAATAGTAAACTTCTACACCAACAGTCTCTTTTCTCGCACTTCCCACCTGTGGAACTTTCTTCCGTTTACTTGCTACTCTTATAACTACAATCTTCAAAAATTTAAATGCAACGTCAATTGTCATCTTCCGTCTTTTTTAATCCCGTTCATTTTTGTCCATCCCACAATCCTCCCTATTCTCAGTCTTCTCTTTCACTTTTATTCCGTGTAAGTCTCTGTGCACTAGTGGCATTCTCGCCTTGCTTTGGGGTGAAATGATTAAAAAAATATTTTTCATCATATCTCCGCTTCTCAGTTTTATACTTACGTTTTGTACAACCAACAAAGTTCAAACTACCTCCCGTTCCACGGCCTCTGAGCGAGGTTTTGAGGATCGTGGAACTACCTCTTAATTGTTGTTGTTCCCAGGTCCATTCTGACCCGGGGTGGTAGCACCTGTTAGGGTCCCAGCTATAGGTAAATAGTTAACCCCCAAACTGGGGTCAAAACGCCATGATAGTGGAAAAATACGCTTTTATAGTAAAAATACCAGCAATACATTTTTGAAAAAAAAATATTACCAGCAATCGATTTGACTCTCGACAAAATCCCCCCCACCTTTTTTTTTTTTTTACAAAAATACATCTATGAAACCTGATCTCCTACAAACTGATTTTCTTACAATGAATACATATTCTATTCATACGAACCTATCCCCAAAACTTTGTCGGCATTAAATAACCCACTGAGGTGTTGATATGCCGTAAAACAAAATAAAACAAAGCAAACCAACAAAGTTCAGCTGTCTTTTTCTGTATGTTACCTACAATTTTATTTGTACTTTCTATTCTTTGTACATTCTATTCTGCATAAAACTTTCAGATTTGTGACATATCTATCTGTGGTATTTGTTTGATCATTTTACCTCAAGCAAGGTGATAAAGCCACTAAGACGCAAGAGCGATTATTGAGAGTAAGAGAAATTGAGGAAAAGGACAATAAAAGAACAGGTTTCAAAAAGCCAGAAAATGACGATTGATGTTGCATTTAAGATCGCAGTTGAAAGGAGATCAAGAAACCGGAAGAGGTACGGGGGAGAAGAAACTGTTAAATATTCAATGTCAGAGTAAATTAACAATGTTATGATGATCTCTCTCTCTCTCTCACTTTTTCTCTCTCTTTCTCACGCTCTCTTATATGCATGCGCACATGTATGTGCGTGTGTGTGAGAGAGAGACCTTTAGAAACCATGGCTCTCTACATCTTCTTGTTCTCATCGTTACTTTCACTTTTTGACAAAAGCTCTTTTTTGAGAAAGCTCTTCGTAGTATTTATAGCACGAAGAATCTGAGACACAGTGAAAATGATATAAATTGGTCGAAAAGATGGCCGCTTCAGAGAGTCACATTTTAATTTTTATTTTTGACACTAATTTTCAACATATCCTCGCTTCTTCATGCTATACTTAAGTTTTGTACAACCAACAAATTGTTTTTAGCATTTGTCCCGCCATTGAATACACAAATACTATCTGCTATCTTCGGTTTCTCTTGTCTTCACTATGTCCTGTGAATGTTAAATTCTCCAAGCCTTCTCTCTTCATTATGTATCCAAAAATGTTTATCTGTCGCTTTCTGTTGGTTGCCTACAATTTCTTTGTACTTTCTATTCTTAAAACTTTCAGATTTGTTACTTATTTCTTCATGATATTTTTTCTAATCATTTTACCCCAAGAAAGGGCATAAAGCTACTAAGATGCAAGGGTTACTGAAAGTGAAAGAAACTGAGAAAACCTCATTGAGGAGAAAGGAACCACTTCAAAAGACCACATTTTTTTTCTTTTGATTAATTTTCAATATGTCTCCACTTCTCTATGCTATACTTTCGTACCACTAAGAAATAATTGAAACTAAAGTATATAGAGGTGGAAAGCATATACAGGTAGAAATACCTAATTATATGTAAACGGTAAATGCGTTGCTAATGACACTTCGATGAATATGCAGGAAGAAAAAATTTCCAATCGTCTGTTATCGTAGGGATATTTTTGCATGATTTAAGTGATTTTAGGTGAAAGAAGAAGAAAATGGAAGGATGCAAAAGAAAGAAGGAAATGAGAAAGAAACATTAACGAAAGAAGAAAACATAAAAAGTGAAGAAGAAAAAAACAGGAAAACATGCAACAATAAATGGAAGCCGTCCTAAAGATGCTTCTCAAAAGAAGGAATGAAACTTAAGTGAGAGATAGAAAGAGAGAAAAGGAGAGAGAGATAGAGAGAGAGCGAGAAAGAAAGAAAAAAAGAGACTGAGAGAAAGAAAGAGTGAAAGAGAGAGAGAGAGTGAGAGAGAGAGAAAAGAGGGAAAGAGAATCAGAGAGAAAGAGAGAATGAGAAAGAGAGAGTGGGTGTGAGAGAGAAAGAGAGAGTGAAAGTAATAGACGGAAAGGGAGAAAGATAGAGAGAGTGAGAGAGAGAGGAAGAGTAATAGAGATAAACAGAGAGAGTGAGAGAGTAAGAGAGAGAAAAAGAGATGTAGATAGTAAGGGAAAGAAAGGGAGGGAGAAAGAGAGAGATGGTGTAAGAGAGAGAACGCGAGAGAGAGAAAAAGAGAGAAGAAGAGAGAGGGGGGAATAGAGAGAGATTGGAAGAGAGAAAGAGAGAGAATTCATTTTTCTAGGAAAAATATAAAAAGGAAAATAGAAAAGAAAAATAAAAGATTAAGTCTGAAATAAAAAAAAAATGATCTACAAAGACATTTGTTGG